AGTCTCCCCCCCCCGGCCTGGAAAATAATCTAGTGGAACACTGCATCTTTGTGTTCCATCTCTCTTTACTTCTCCCACAGGACAAAACGCGGGTTGTTTCCCCCATCATCGACGTCATCAACATGGACAACTTCCAGTACGTAGGCGCCTCAGCCGATCTCAAAGGAGGTAAATCACCAGCAGCTTTCATTTCCTCTCCAGGGCAGGCTAGAAAATTACACTGCAGTTTTTCACTCTGTACCCAATGTCACCTTCTGCCAAAGAAGTCTGTTTCTTGGTGTGTGGCTGGCTGGTTGGCTGGCTGACTGGCTGGTTGACTGACTGGTTGACTGACTGAATGGCTGGTTGACTGACTGAATGCCTGGCTGGCTGGCTGACTGGCTGGTTGGCTGCCTAGCTGCACGTGTGTGTGAGAGCAAAGGAGAGAATAAGAGCTTGATAAATCTTTAAGCCCTTTGGAATGGAAACTATTTGATTGATTTGTCTCCCATGGCTCCTGCATTCTCTGGGGCTTATGAGAAGTGTAATGTACAACCATATTAAGATAGACGCCACAGATATGTGATATAAATCTAATTTAATTTGTCACATGCGCCAAATACAACCATACCATGAAATGCTTACTTACAAGCCCTTAATCAACAATGCAATTCAAGAAATAGAGTTAAGAAAATATTTACTAAATAAACTAAAGTAAAAAATAAAATAAAAAGTAACACAATAAAATAACAATAACGAGGCTATATACAGGGGGTACCGGTACCGAGTCAATGTGGGGGGTACAGGTTAGTCGAGGTAATTTGTACATGTAGGTAGGGGTAAAGTGACTATGCATAGATGTGGGAGGGGGGTCAATGTAAATGGTCAGGGTGGCCATTTGATGAATTGTTCAGCAGTCTTATGGCTTGGGGGTAGAAGCTGTTAAGGAGCCTTTTGGATCTAGACTTGGCGTTCCGGTACCGCTTGCCGTGCGGTAGCAGAGAGAACAGTCTATGGACTTTGGTGATTGGAGTCTGACAATTTTTTGGGCCTTCCTCTGACACCGCCTAGTATATAGGTCCTGGATGGCAGGAAGCTTGGCCCCAGTGATGTACTGGGCTGTACACACTACCCTCTAGTACCTTACGGTCAGATGCCGAGCAGTTGCCGTACTAGGAGGTGATGCAACCGATCAGGATTCTCTTGATGATGCAGTTGTATAACTTTTTGAGGATCTGGGGACCCATGCCAAATGGCGTTTGTCGTGCCCACTTGACAACATTCTTGGTGTGTTTGGACCATAATAGTTTGTTGGTGATGTGGACACCAAGGAACTTCAAACTCTGGACCCGCTCCACTACAGCCTCGTCGATGTGGATGGGGGCGTGTTTGGCCCTCCTTTTCCTGTAGTCCACGATCATCTCCTTTGTCTTGCTCACGTTGAGGGAGAGGTTGTTGTCCTGGCACCACACTGCCAGGTTTCTGACCTCCTCCCTATAGGCTGTCTCATCGTTGTCGGTGATCAGGCCTACCACCGTTGTCGTCAGCAAACTTAATGATGGTGTTGGAGTCGTGCTTGGCCACGCAGTCGTGGGTGAACAGGGAGTACAGGAGGGGACTAAGCACGCACCCCTGAGGGCCCCCTGTGTTGAGGATCAGCGTGGCAGATGTGTTGTTGCCTGCCCTTACCACCTGGGGGCGGCCCGTCAGGAAGTTCAGGATCCAGTTGCAGAGGGAGGTGTTTAGTCCCAGGGTCCTTAGCTTAGTGATGAGCTTTGTGTGCACTATGGTGTTGAACGCTGAGCTGTAGTCAATGAATAGCATTCTCACATAGGTGTTCCTTTTGTCCAGGTGGGAAAGCACAGTGTGGAGTGCGATTGAGATTGCGTCATCTGTGGATCTGTTGGGGCGGTATGCGAATTGAAGTGGGTCTATGGTTTCCGGGATGATGGTGTTGATGTGAGCCATGACCAGCCTTTCAAAGCACTTCATGGCTACTGACGTGAGTGCTATGGGGCGGTAGGCATTTAGGCAGGTTACCTTCGCTTTCTTGGGCACAGGGACTATGGTGGTCTGCTTGAAACATGTTGGCATTACAGACTCGGTCAGGGAGAGGTTGAAAATGTCAGTGAAGACACTTGCCAGTTGATCCGCGCATGCTCTGAGTAAAAGTCCTGTTAATCCGTCTGGCCCCGCAGCCTTGTGAATGTTGACCTGTTTAAAGGTCTTGCTCACATCGGCTACGGAGAGCGTGATCACACTGTCGTCTGTAACAGCTGGGGCTCTCATGCATGCTTCAGTGTTACTTGCCTCGAAGCGAGCATAAAATACATTTAGCCCGTCTGGTAGGCTCGCGTCACTGGGCAGCTCGTGGCTGTCTTTCCCTTTTGTAGTCCGTAATAGTTTGCAAGCCCTGCCACATCCGACGAGCGTCAGAGCCGGTGTAGTACGATTCAATCTTAGTCCTGTATTGACGTTTTGCCTGTTTGATGGTTCGTCTGAGGGCATAGCGGGATTTCTTATAAGCGTCCGGATTAGTGTCCCGCTCCTTGAAAGCGAAAGTTCTAGCCTTTAGCTCAATGCGGATGTTGCCTGTAATCCATTGCTTCTGGTTGGGGTATGTACGTACGGTCACTGTTGGGACGACGTCATCGATGCACTTATTGATAAAGTCAGTGACTGATGTGGTGTACTACTCAATGCCATCGGAAGAATCCCGGAATATATTCTGTGCTAGCAAAACAGTCCTGTAGCGTAGCCTCCGCGTCATCTGACCACTTCCATATTGAGTCACTGGTACTTCCTTCTTTAGTTTTTGCTTGTAAGCAGAAATCAGCAGGATAGAATTATGGTCAGGTTTGCCAAATGGAGGGCAAGGGAGAGCTTTGTTCCCATCTCTGTGTGTGGAGTAAAGGTGGTCTAGTGTTTGTTTCCCTCTGGTTGCACATGTGACATGCTGGTAGAAATGAGGTAAAACTGATTTATGTTTATGTCCCCGGCCACTAGGAGCACCGCTTCTTGTTTGCTTATGGCCTTATAGCTATCAGTTAGGCATTGTGTGTGAAAAGGATAGAAGTGTTAGGAGGAATACAAACACTGACAACCAGCTTTTCCTTTTATTAAAATGACTCCACTCTTGTTTACTTGAAATCACTTGAAACCTAATCAGTACCTGTTTTTCCCGCTCTAGGATTTGATTGGAATCTGGTCTTCAAGTGGGACTATATGACCTTGGAGCAGAGGAGGGTGCGTCAAGGAAACCCCACTGCTCCAATCAAGTAAGCCTTCTTCTCCTCTGGGTTCTTTCTGCTGACCTCTCCTGCCTGCCTCACCTCTGCCTCATAGCCAGGCCCCTGAGCCCCCTGGAGGAGAGGCTGAGGCAAGCAGCATTAGATATCAGTGTGCAGCGTCCACACTGAGCCCTCTGGGGAATATAGTCCAAAGCTCCTGAAAAAGACCCAGAGCCTTTGAGCCTCTGTTGTTTTCTCCCTGCGGTATGACATCGGAGAGTGAAGTAAACACAGGCAGAGGTGATTGAAGGCATTCTCATCTTATCCAGCTTTGTGTCTTAAATTGTGTTCAGTGATGAGAAGGGAGAAGATATTTGATGGGGATATTGCTGTGAAAGGATAGATTTGGTACATTGTACTATTTTTCTGCAATTCAATCGCTTCTAGATCAGAAGAGAGCAAACACTTTGATTTGTTCAATCAGTATGAGATCACAGAAATAATTCTGTTTTACTGAATAACCAAATGTCAGATGCATTCTCTCAGTAAACACATTGTTCCATTGTTTACCAACAGAGGGTGGCATTTAATCAATATCCAAAGACTAGAATTAGAATTTGGCTCTTCATTGCCTGTAATGCATATTGTTCCTCTTCACAAGGTGATGGTAATTAACCCAAAGGGTGACTCAAGTCATTTTTTATCATAATTGGCATTCTGTGTTTGAAAATGTCAACAATAGGATAAGCTGTTCTGGTTAAATGGTCTTCTAGATCTGCTTTTGTATCCCTGCATTATCCATGCATTATCCATGTCCCTGTAGACCAGACCTTGTTTGATCCATGTCCCTGTAGACCAGACCTTGTTTGATCCATGTCTCCCGAGTGGCGCAGTGGTCTAAGGCACTGCATCGCAGTGCTAGCTGTGCCACTAGAGATCCTGGTTCGAATCCAGGCTCTGTCGTAGCCGGCCGCGACCGGGAGACCCATGGGGCGGCGCACAATTGGCCCAGCGTCGTCCAGGGTAGGGGAGGGAATGGCCGGCAGGGGATGTAGCTCAGTTGGTAGAGCATGGCGTTTGCAACGCCAGGGTTGTGGGTTCGATAAAAATAATGTATGTGCTAACTGTAAGTCGCTCTGGATAAGAGCGTCTGCTAAATGACTTAAATGTAAATGTAAATGTAATCCATGTCCCTGTAGACCAGACCTTGTTTGATCCATGTCCCTGTAGACCAGACCTTGTTTGATCCATGTCCCTGTAGACCAGACCTTGTTTGATCCATTTCTCTGTAGACCAGACCTTGTTTGATCCATGTCCCTGTAGACCAGACCTTGTTTGATCCATTTCTCTGTAGACCAGACCTTGTTTGATCCATTTCTCTGTAGACCAGACCTTGTTTTTGTTTTGAGCCATGGATTTTTGTTCAACAACATTATTTCATCCAAGACGCTCATTGATGTTTTTCTTCCTTTTGAAAACAAAATAGCCTCTGAGGACAAGTGAAGTGTTGTATTATTCCATCCAAACAGTCACAGGACAGGGCACCACAGCTCCCTGTTGCTGCCGGGTTACAGGGCACCACAGCTCCCTGCTGCTGCCGGGTTACAGGGCACCACAGCTCCCTGCTGCTGCCGGGTTACAGGGCACCACAGCTCCCTGCTGCTGCCGGGTTACAGGGCACCACAGCTCCCTGCTGCTGCCGGGTTACAGGGCACCACAGCTCCCTGCTGCTGCCGGGTTACAGGGCACCACAGCTCCCTGCTGCTGCCGGGTTACAGGGCACCACAGCTCCCTGCTGCTGCCGGGTTACAGGGCCAGGCTCCGGGTATCACATGCTGATGAGAGGACTGTAGGAGAGCTGAACTTGGCAGAAATGTCACGCTGTTTTGTCTCATAGCCACGCTGTTTTGTCTCATAGCCCTAACTACTTTCTGTCTTACCTCTTTCTCAGGACTCCCATGATCGCCGGCGGCCTCTTTGTCATGGACAAGGACTACTTTGAGTTGCTGGGGAAGTATGACATGATGATGGATGTGTGGGGTGGAGAGAATCTAGGTAAGAGGACACAGAACACTAGGAAAGCTTGAGCTTGTTTGTCATTGTGTGGGAATGGGACGATATCTATATGTCAATATTATATGAGCCCATTTTCTGATTGAAACCGTACTGACGTTGAAGGTGCCAACCGTGAGAAGTTCTAGCACAATGAATTGTCACTCTAAAACCTTGCCCTAAACCGTTATAATAATGTGTGTGTTTTGTATTTGTCTTTGGACATTGCAGAGATCTCTTTCCGCGTGTGGCAGTGTGGCGGCAGTCTAGAGATCATTCCCTGCAGTCGAGTGGGACACGTCTTCAGGAAGCAGCATCCATATACCTTCCCTGGGGGCAGTGGCACCGTGTTTGCTAGGTGACTATTGATTGTCCCTGTGATGTATGAAAATGTATGCACTCGCTAACTGTAAGTCGCTCTGGATAAGAGCGTCTGCTAAATGACTAAAATGTAAAGGATGTGAGGTAGACTTGGCTAAAGTCTGCCCTCTTGTGGTCCACTGGGTACTAACTTCTTCTACATACTGTCACATAACCAACTAGAGTGACTGTACATTAGGGTTTGTAATTAGAGCCATAATAAAGGCCCACTGTACCGGCTAACAACTGGCAATTGAGTTTACTCACTAACCCTACAGTAACTTTAACTTTACCCACATTTTCCCCTAACTTTACTTTTCTCAAAGACCCAATGAAATCCAAGCTGAGGCAGTGGGACGAATACCTGCTAGTAGCCTGCAGAGAAGGCCTGTTTCATTCCTCTGAAATTCACATCATAATACCGCTGTTCAAAGTCTAGCTGAGCTGCAGTCATTCAAATAGAGGCTCAATCAGAACAGAGGCCTCAGCTCTGCTCTCGTCCTGGCTTCACCCCTGCAGTGTCAACACTGTTCCAGCACGCATGGCATCTGGGTGATTCATGGATGAGAGAAGTGAACACTCCCTCACTGCCCGTCTGTCACGCAGCACTGAAAACCCCACAGATTGCCAAGTCTTAGGATGTGTGCTCATATCTCAAAATAGCTTTGAGGACTGTCACACTCGTGTTTTCTGAAGCTTGAACCGCCTCCTCACTTTCTCTTGCCCTGTTCATATTTTTAACAGACATCCTTCCTTCCATTGAATAAATAACATATGATCAATTGAAAAGGTGCAAGCAGGGGTTCTATAACATTGCCTGTAGTTTTTGAAATCAGTGATTATTTACAGGACTGGAAGAAGGACCAGGAAGGATACATTTTGTAAGTATTCTAACATGGTGTGTATCTGTATGTCTACAGGAACACGAGGCGAGCAGCAGAGGTGTGGATGGACGAGTTTAAGAACTTCTACTACGCCGCTGTGCCCTCGGCCCGAAACGTGCCCTATGGCAAGTAAGTATCCTTTCAGACACCCATCTTCCTGTGCCCTATGGCAAGTAAGTATCCTTTCAGACACCCTTCTTCCTGTGCCCTACGGCAAGTAAGTATCCTTTCAGACACCCTTCTTCCTGTGCCCTACGGCAAGTAAGTATCCTTTCAGACACCCTTCTTCCTGTGCCCTACGGCAAGTAAGTATCCTTTCAGACACCCCTCTTCCTGTGCCCTACGGCAAGTAAGTATCCTTTCAGACACCCTTCTTCCTGTGCCCTACGGCAAGTAAGTATCCTTTCAGACACCCTTCTTTCTGTGCCCTATGGCAAGTAAGTATCCTTTCAGACACCCTTCTTTCTGTGCCCTACGGCAAGTAAGTATCCTTTCAGACAACCTTCTTCCAAGATGGCATCGCAGATCGCCCTGCTGTCCTTGTATAGAATATCAAAACACATTTCCCTTTTTCTAACACATACAGAAGGTCAGATGGTACACCCTGAGCTGAGTTCTAATATGATGTACTCTGTGCTTTGATGTAGTGATCTCAGTTGCCTCCAGATGTCATGCTGCGGTCTGTCTCTCTGAGATGGCTGGTAGTTAGATGAGTCATGGTTTCCTCTCTGTCTGGCAGCATTCAGAGCAGAATGGAGATGAAGAAGAGGCTGGGCTGCCAGCCATTCAAGTGGTACCTGGAGAACGTGTACCCCGAGCTGCGGTGAGTAGAGAGGCAGCACCGCCACAGTGGACCAGCAAGATACTGCTTTGAAAATGGCCAAAACATAAAGACATAGCTGTTGACTGTTTCCCCTACCATTATATAGGCGGAACATACTTTGGGGGCCTTTGCGTGACACTTGGAAATTCAACTAGGGGAAATACTGTGGTGCTGGCATATACTCACGTCTTGTGATTTGACTTGTGGTGTTTGTCTGGCCCTTCAGGGTCCCTGACCATCAGGACATTGCCTTCGGAGCTCTGCAGCAGGGAGGGAACTGCTTAGACACGCTGGGACACTTTGCAGACGGAGTTGTGGGGGTCTATGAATGCCACAACGCTGGGGGAAATCAGGTACCATTCAGGGCTCAGGTACTGCTCAGATCCATTACACATAACCAAGCTGTGCACTGGGCTGGGTAACACACACTGAGGTGGGTTTACTTTGGTCAGGTTCTGGACTGGCCAGTCAACCATTTTTGGTTCTGGACAGTCAACTATCAGATTCTGGACTGGATAGTCAACTATCAGGTTCTGGACTACTTTGATTGGGGGTGTCTGATTCATACTGATGAAATCCATTTTGATGTCCCACTTCCCACAATATATTGATTATATTACTGAGCTGGAGGAAGAGATTCTGGGAGAGTCAAGCCCCTGTTGGTCTATATAGGTGTGATTTATAACAGACAACATGCAAACACCACATATTCACACTTGACAAAGACACACACATAATAAATAGATCTGCATAGTCATTCAGAGGACTACCCTAAACTGTGCAAATGTAGCAAATTGACTGTGTCCCCCTCTTGGTCCTCAGGAATGGGCGCTGACCAAGGACAAGTCAGTAAAGCACATGGACCTTTGTCTGACGGTGGTGGACCGCATCGCAGGCTCACAAATCAAACTGCAGGGCTGCAGGGAAAACGACAGCAGACAAGTGAGCGAGACGAGCACCGAGTCATGCACCAAGGATCAGATCAATCAGAAAGCACTAGTAGTAAATTAAAGAGACTGGATTGGGATGATCCCTTTGGATTTAAACTCACCATCAATAGAAACCATTAGTGATCATAGGATTATTACATAAAAACCTGTGACTGATTTGTGCACCCTTGTTTCCTCCGTCTCCCAACCCCTCCCTGACCCCACCTCATGTGTCTCCAGAAATGGGAGCAGATCGAGAGCAACTCCAAGCTGCGGCACATGGGCAGCAACCTGTGCCTGGACAGCCGCAGTGCACGCACTGGGGGGCTGACAGTGGAGGTGTGCAGCTCCAACCTCAACCAGCAGTGGAAGTTCACCCTCAACCTCCAGCCCTAGAGAGGGAGAGAGACAAACAGAGTGTCCCCCACCAGCACCACCTCCTCTCCTCCCCGGAGCCAAACAGACTAGAGCCACCCAGTACCAACACATACAGACGGACAGACTGAGGCCCCCGGAGGGGCCACAACACAGAGGGAAGAAGGATATGAAACTACAGACTACCAAGTGGGATGATGATGATGATGATTTTAATGTTGATGATGATTTTAATGTTGGTGATGATGATAATGCTTCCCCTCAAACTATATACCTCAGCTTTTCATCTTTAGTCCCGCTCTTTGGAACGTGAAGAAGTAATTTTTCTTATTGCAGGTGAAAGGAACTTTCTGGATGTTTTTCTATTTTGTGCGTGTTCTTTGTTCTCTCTTTCCACTGAAGTTCTGAATGGATAAGACTATTAATTAGTCGTTTTTCTCTCTCTAGCAATCTGTCTTTGTTGAATGTAAAATACGTATTCTACAGAGGTTCCCTGACTAGACAGAGACTGCACAGGAAGAAAGCTGATGGTTTCAGCTGGGTTTGGCACCTTAAAATCCTGCTGGTAGAAGGGAAATGACTGTATGCACTGTTCCTCTCGTTCACTCAAACGCTTCTCTCCTGATTGGTGGACTGCTCTGCCAGAGTGAGCGGAAAAGAGATTTTGCTCCTGCCACGGGTTGTAAGAGGGTACGTCGTCCGATCAGAAGAAGCTCTTCGCAGGCCTCATGGATACTGGTGGGGCCAAGAGTTGTCGAGGGTGTGGATGTATCGCTGCTGGATCGTCACAGACTGTAGAACTGGCTGCTACGGCTCCTCAGTGTTTGTCCCCTTTGTCCATCACAATAGAATGGAAAATCCACAAAAAAATATATAGATATATATTTTCATGAATGTTTGTTTTTTCTTTGCAAAAGCAGTACAGTGTCCAAGTTTTATTATAGTTTTATTTTATTTCTAGCAGACATCAAAAACAATGTTTTGTGTCAATTATACTGTAGAATAATCAGCTGAGGAACACAGTAAACTGGACAGATATTTCTTTATACTGTTGTTGTGTTCTGACTGTTCTCTTACTTTCTAGTTTTGTTTTCCTTTTCAGTGTCAGTGTTACCATAGTAACTACCCTGTCATAACCTCATCCAAATCAGTATTGGTGAAGAGTTTATTACAGGGTAATGTTGGAGCCATAATTTCCATTATCAGAAGTCTACAAGTGTTCTTGAAATGTTGTCTCACACAGTATATGTATACATTGGAGTCCTTATTGTCAGTATTTGTGATTTTGACATTTTAGAAAATGACACTTCTGTTCTGTCGGGAAGTGACTGTCAGCATGTACATGGGGAGGCCTTGTGTTGCATGTTCCAATACGTCACTGTCTTTTTTTCCTAGTTTTTTTCTGTCCATTTTGTTTCTCGACATTACTCACATGCTTTGTGAATGTCTTTGCCTTTTTTCATATCCATCCCACCTAAAGGAGAATGTGTCTGTGTGTGCTAGTGAACAGCTTTCAACAGGTTTCTTGAAGGAGGGCAGGTCATTCGGCTATAGTTAACTGCACTCACAAGGGAGAAAAAGCAATAAGATGTTCCTATTTTCCTATTTCAGTATAATTGTTGTGCATTTAGCTCACATCTGCTTCGGGACCATTCTGATTGTGTTTCTACATGTAGCTTGTGATATGTGGTACTTTAACGTTACTGTTTGTTGCTTAAGAGCAGCAGAATCCACCGTTAATGTGATGGCCAAAGGACCCTATAATGACTTATGAAAGCAAAGATCTATCCATTGACATGACATTGTTTTTGTCTCAGTTGGGATTCCCCCGATATGAATGGAGATTAATTTATTCTAGAATCGCAAATGACTAATTATTTAGTAATATTTTCTGTCTGTATTTTGTAAGCCTTCATTATATATGCACATATTTACCATAAGCAGTCTGTGTAAGTCCTAAACATCAATCTCTGTGTGTTCTACACCATTCTGGTCAAACTTCCGGATACAAAAGGAACTCCAACCATCAGTACAGAAATGAGCATCACAGCGACAGAGCATTGCAGCAGCTCCCATCTGACTCTTGTGTGAAGGTATTGCATTAAAAAAATGCCAAAGAGAGGAGGTATCCCATGGGAAGAGAAGGAGGTATCCCACGGGAAGAAAGGAGGTATCCCATGGGAAGAGAAGGAGGTATCCCACGGGAAGAAAGGAGGTATCCCACGGGAAGAAAGGAGGTATCCCACGGGAAGAAAGGAGGTATCCCACGGGAAGAGAGGTATCCCACGGGAAGAGAGGTGGTATCCCACGGGAAGAAAGGAGGTATCCCACGGGAAGAAAGGAGGTATCCCACGGGAAGAGAGGTGGTATCCCACGGGAAGAGAGGTGGTATCCCACGGTAAGTGAGGAAACAGCCCATATTTTATCTGCAGTTCAGAATGTGAGATCTGTGTGAGAGCAGGACAATGGAATCATGAGATGAGTTGGGGGTTGTAACCTCCCATGTGAGATGAGTTGACAAGTTTCACATGGTAAGAGCTTTGTCTGCTATCACGTACGCCACTGTTGAAATTTTAACAGTTTCGGTGTTCATGTCAATTGTAACAATTCTAATGTGAAACTCGGATGTGTAGAGGATGGCCTACAGTACTAAACAGAATTGCTCGAGTGAACATTGTCTACATGGTGGCAACGGTTGTTCAAGTATTGAATGAAGCCTTTTTTGTACGATTTGTGTGAAAATGACAAGTTTGCTGTTCACTTTAGGAATTACGGAAAGAGGAAAATAGAATCCTAGCATTACAGCTACATTTTAATTGGATGAAATGTTTACATAGCACAATGTGCCAAAGTGATTTACTTATTTGATTTACAATGTTAAGGACGTTCCATTGACATAATGATGACGGATAATAAACCAAATCAAGAAAGTAGTAATTTGGGACATAAAATATGATTTGTTCCTTTGATAAAATGGTTTGCTGTAGGATTGTGTAGATTACGATTCAAATCACAGGGAGGCAGTATGGGGTAACCAATGTAAAAGTGTATGTTCGTATTTACACTACGTTGATCAACTGTACAGTATGAACATGTAACTAGCAACACCAGTGAGTTGATCTACTGTACAGCACTTGGAGTTGTTTACCGTTTTATAGTTATGGCAAAAATTCTACTTAAATGAGGGAAAATGATTAACTTAAATAAATGCATTTATATATAAAAGAGATGTGGACTTTCTTTACATTCCTTGAAGACTCGGTTAATTAGCAATGAGAAATAATTAAGGTTCGGAAGCCAGAGTTTTGTTAATTTTGTTGGATTTTGATGACGGCTGTAACTAAATCATTCAGTCAGTTTTCCTGGCCTGCTTGCTCTCATTGCTATGCAAAGTCATCCTCAGGGGAAAAGAGGACGGTATTGTCATGGAAACAGCCTCTAACAAAGATCCAGCCCTGGCTGTTCTCCAGTGTCTCCAATTAATAAATCAGCAAATTTTGGACATCTCTCTCTCGTTCGTGGTTCTCAAACCTCTCCTCGGGGACCCCCGTCCATTCCATGTATTGGATCTATTTCAGAGCTAGCGCACCGGAGTCAACTTGTCAACTAATCCTCAAGCCCTTGTCTAGGTGAATCGGGTGAGTTAGATCAGGGCTTCAACACAACTGGGAAACGTCTGGGGGTCCCCGAGGAGAGGTTTAAGAACCACTGCTATAATGAATATGTTGAGATTAGTGTTTCCCAATCCTAGTCCTGGGGTGCCAGGGATACACATTTGTTTTTGCCCTAGTACTCCCACGCCTGATTCAAATCAACTCATCATCAAGCCTTTTCATTAGTTTAATCAATTGTGTGAGTGCTAAACCAGTATTTACCAGGATTGGGAAACACTGGTTTAGATGCAGGTGCAAAAGGATGGTTGTGTTTTAGTACGGCATAAAGTTCCAGCTCTAATACCTCTTGCATGTACAATCCCACAGTCAGTGGAAACTAAAGGGTTTGTACAATGTGTTACCCAGGGTAATGTAACACAGACATGTAACAGACATTAAAGGTCCAGTGCAGTCAAAATTCTGTTTTTCCTGTGTTTTGTATCATATTGTACAACAACTGATGAAACTAACACTGTAAAAGTGTGAAAACATTTGATCAGTGTTATTTCCTGATAGTTGCTGGTCGAAAATACAATCTACACAGGACCTTCTAATCAGCAGGTTTGCATGTGCGGGAGTTTCGGCTTACCATGATGACATCACCATGCAGTAAATTGGTTAATAGACAAATAAAAGAGATCCAAACCTCTCTGCCAATAACAGCTAGTTTTCAGTTTTCCCCTTCCTACTTAGACCACTCCCAGACAGTCCTAGCAACATTATTGCTTGAGAAAATTATTTTTGCTAAAAAGCTAATTCTTTCCAAATTTCAATGGAAATCTATTACAGTGAGGTACTTAATTGTTCCCCACAAATGATTTGATATTGATACAAAACTGGCTGCATTGGACCTTTAAGGATGCAGAGCCACCAAAGATCAGCAGCTCTACTAAACAGACCATCTGTCGCCCACTACTACTACCTACAGCGCATTAAACATCTGGAGACTAGACATGCACCATACTCCTAGCCCACAGGGGGCGCTAGCCTAGACATGCACCATACACCTAGCCCACAGGGGGTGCTAGCCTAGACATGCACCATACTCCTAGCCCACAGGGGGTGCTAGCCTAGACATGCACCATACACCTAGCCCACAGGGGGTGCTGGCCTAGACATGCACCATACTCCTAGCCCACAGGGGGCGCTAGCGTAATATGCACATATTGGTCACGCTTTAGATAAAGTATAATTTATAAAGCCTATAAGGTTAACAAAGCCTTCGTAAACCCTTTCCAATACCTACATAAACTCTTGACACTGGTGGTGTATAAAATCATTAACATTTATTAAATGTGTGCAAAATGGTGTAAACGCTCATCAACAGAGGTGGTGTACATACAATTCACAAAGTCAGTCATCATGGCC